CTCGTTCATTCGTTTTGATTTGAATTGTTTTTGGCACCGCGCCAGAAAATTAATCCGCCATCAACTTGCTTGTAAGCAACATTCAAATAATTAGCCAGTGCAGCGACTGCCGATGCGAAGATGCGTTTTTTGCATAGTTCCCCGCAGGTTTTTTCCACTAACGGCACTGTTTTTTCCGTCAAATGCTTCTAGCTAAAAGTATTGAAACGAACCACCAAAACTGTCAGAATGCATACCCTTAAAATTTCAGCTAGCTTTTCTTGTTCCCGAGTTAGCAACTTACTCGCCAAAAATTTTTACACGCCCATATATGGGGACCCGGCGTATACCTGGGCGCTGAATTTGGAGCCATCAAGTTTTGCGTGGACAGCGAATATCCTCTTAAAATTACAGCCTTCTAGCTTTTCAGATTCCCAAGTTAGCAAATTACCCGCAAAAAACTTTCGCGGCAAAACCACCCACCTGGATGTTGAACTTGAAGTCATTAGATTATTCGTTGACAGGGAACATCTCCTCAAAACTTGTGCCATTCCGTTGGCGTACATTACTGTTTCCTATATACCGGTTTACCATCATTATCTTTATCATTGTAATTTCACTCATTGTTAAGAATCTTATGAATTCTTACGATTTTTTTTTCGTGGGATTTTAGCGTAGTAGACGAACGTTGGACAAATTTTGTGAATTCGATGAATGGAATTTTCTGTACATCACTCTTGGATATGCTACCGAATTTTGTCTCAACACCACGACTCTCATTTTCGCCAACCGGCTATCTGAATCCGCATAATCCTCATCAAATCAGGTACCGCTGTTGAATATCCCGATTTATTGTGTTTTTTTTTTTTTCAACTTTGATTGATTTGAACACTTTGTAGAAGTTTTCCTGGGATTTATCATGTCTGCTTTTTGTTTGTTTATGATCGGAGTTTTAGATACGGTGCTTTATCCGGTGAAACCGTTTGTACGGAAAATTTTACGCCATGGAGGAAGCTGCTACCCTGTAAACAGGTTCCTATTTTTTTATGTTTGAAGATTCTCAAAAAAACAGATTTTTTGGAATATTTTCGAAAAAAATGCATATAAAAATACAAAATACAAAAAAAAAAAGTGCATATTTTCTTACCTACTTTAATAATTCCTTTCATGTTTTTCATAATTTTTTTTTTTTCACATTTTTCCTTTAACTCTAAATTGAGATATTTTTGGGGTATTTTTTGATAAGTAGGGCGTGAAGGCAAGGAACGCTACTCTCGCATGAGGATTTGGAGGGATAAACAGTATCTTTTAGCAGTTTGTTCATTTGTTTCAATGAAAAAATAGTGCTATCGTGGGCCAGAAAGTCTAAATTACCATTAGCAGCTTGATTTTAAGCAGCAGTTCACGGAACAGGGAGCCATCGGCAGCTTTTGGCTTATTCTTTTGGCCTTGTACGATAGCACGGATCACATTCCATTGTTTTCTTAAGGAAAGACCGG